TCTATCTCCCTCTCCCTCCCTCTGTCTCCTTCCCTCTCTCTCTCTCTCTCTCCCTCCAGTTCTCTATCTCCCTCTCCCTCCCTCTGTCTCCTTCCCTCTCCCTCCTTCTCTTTCCCTCTCTCTCTCTCTCTCTCTGTCCTCCTCCCCCTCTCCCTAGCCCCCCCCCCACACACACACATGTTGCTCTTATTCTCTCCTACTATTGAGGGCATTCCTTTTCCTCTATGTGACAAGGAACAGATTGCCTCGGACAATCTGTTCCCAGCATAACACCTCCTGCAAAGAACCCTTCTCTCCCAACAGCCATATATTAATCCAGGGAAAATTTGAATTGGTTTTTCTTGAGTCATCTGCTCACCTTTGGACCAGTCACTTACTGAGGGTTTTAGATGACATTGGGCCAACATTGTAATGTGCCTGCTCCGCAGGGAAAGATGTCTTCTTACTAGAAAAAGGGACAGTGTAAAGTAGACCAGAACAATAGTTGTTACCATTGTGCACAGTAACTTGCCAAAAGATGGCTGGTTAGTCAGGTGCTGGTAATCTTGAAAGAGAAGTAATCTAAGATGTAAAGAGGGGCAGTGGCTCATGCCTGTAATCCTAGCACTTTGGGAGGCTAAGGAGTTTGAGACTAGCCTGAGCAAGAGCGAGATCCTATCTCTACAGAAAGAAAAATTAGCCAGGTGTGGTTGCACAGGCCTATAGTCCCAGCTACTTGGGAGGCTGAGGCAGGAGGATTGCTTGAGCCCAGAAGTTTGAGGTTGCAGTGAGCTATGATGATGCCACGGCACTCTAGTCTGGGAGGCAGAGTGAGACTCTATCTCAAAAAATAAAAAATCTGTAGCTGTTGAGTGTTTTTGAATACAGAACAAGAAATTGAAGGAGAAGAAGAAAACTTGAGATTTGCAGACCAAATTTACTTATACATATGTTTTTGTTGGGCTTGCCCAGTGTGGTTTTTTGCTTTTTTCTTTTTTAAGAGACAGGGTTTCACTGTGTTGTGTTGCTCAGGCTTGTCTCAAACACCCAGCTTCAGGTGATTCTCCTCCTTGGCCTCCCAAGTAGCTAAGATTAGAGGCATGAGCCACCTCATCCAGCTCTAGTGTGGTTTAAAAAAAAAACAACTCTGTCAAGTACAACGTGCTGTTACAATGGGTATACTGGACGCCCTGACTTCAGCATGATATAATTTATCCACGTAACTAAATTGTACCCCATAAATTTTTTTTTTTTTTTGAGGCAGAGTCTCACTCTGTTGCCCGGGCTAGAGTGAGTGCCGTGGCATCAGCCTAGCTCACAGCAACCTCACACTCCTAGGCTCAAGCAATCCTTCTGCCTCAGCCTCCCGAGTAGCTGGGACTACAGGCATGCGCCATCATGCCCGGCTAGTTTTTTTTTTTTTCCTATATATTTTTAGTTGTTCGATTAATTTCTTTCTATTTTTAGTAGAGATGGGGTCTCGCCCTTGCTCAGGCTGGTTTCGAACTCCTGAGCTCAAACAATCCGCCCGCCTCGGCCTCCCAGAGTGCTAGGATTACAGGCGTGAGCCACCGCGCCCAGCCCCCATAAATTTTTTGAAATAAAAAAATTAACATAGCATTTTAGAAATTGAGTGTTTTCTTATAAAAATCTGTGTTTCAGCATCCTCTTGAACAATCAGACAATTTGATGGCACTAGGCCCATATTCCTGAATGGCAACCATCAGCCACTGCGTAACTTATTCCTTTCTCTTTAGAGAGGGGATGCGTTGTCTGGGTCAGCACAGCCTCCTCCACCTTGCGCCATTTCCCCAACACCAAGGCATTTCCCTCAAGTTACCTGATTGGCCTGTAGCCCAGGACTACTCAAACTAGTTAAAACAAACAAAATAGACAATTTATTGGTAATTTACTACAGGTACACTGTTGTGTTTTCTTATACCTGGCATTTGTTTTAACCTCTGAATCACTGAATCTGAACTTGGCTCCATCACAAACTGGTTTTGTGTGATTATTTTGAAGTCACTTCACTAATCTCATTGGATCTTCATTTCCTTGTGTTTGCATGTCAGAGTTCAACTACATCAAAAATGTTAAGAATCCACTACATTTAGCTATACTTAAATTCTAAGTATTAAATACTTTCTAGCTTTTTAAATACATTGGACACAATTTAATTTTTCTCAGTGTCTCTGGTTTAACATTGAGTACATCACTCATGGGGCTGCTTGTGCTCCATCATGATCCTCAAAGGCTGTTAAGGCCTCTGAAAGAAACAGCACAGCGCTGCTATGTGTTTCTTGAATTATTTTGCCTACTTTTTATACATAGTTTATACCATAAATACATATATATATGTTCTTCCTCCCTACCTTCTATTGTCTATACATCTATCTTTTAGCAACTGATTATACCACTTTGTAATTTGCTGCTTCTGCTCTACTCTGATTTAGTACAGCAGGTAGTTCTGTGTCTAATAACCTTCTGTATATAAGCTAAGACACCTGTTTTGGATGGTACAGAAAGTCAAACTGATTGTTTGCTAGTTCTCTGAGCTTTGGATGTCTGAGGGTGCCACATTATATTGGGGAGGAGAACAAGAGAATGAAAACCAAAAAAGCAGTAGATAGTTCTTTGCCAAGGGAACTTTCTCTCTTGCTCAGATCGAAGCCAATTTGCCATCTTCAAAAACCTCCCTAGAGCTGAGAACATATGTGGTGAATGGTTGGAGCTGAGCTATGGACAAAACTTGGAAATTAACTACCAATGCCTCGCTTACATGAAGGCTAGATCTGGAAACCCATAAACGTGTCTAACCCGTAAATTGCCAATCAATTAAACAATCGATTGCCAGTTGAAACTGTGGTAGAGAGAATGAGGAAGTCATGGCTACAGGCTAATGTTCCCACCTGCCTTTTCCATCGAACTCCTGTGTGGTCCAGTGTATCTCATGTATTTGTGCATTATGGACATTTCACACAAGTCCATGAGGAATATTACCATCAGTCAAGGCTTAGCTAAGTTGGGAATGGGCTATAGATGGGATAAATTTTACTGCAGATGATCTGACTGACAGAAATATATTAAATGTTTACATTTACCATTGTAAAAATATTTTTCTGATAAAGATTAGAAAATGAAAAGCTGCTTGAGGGGAAAGCCTGCCTACAGGATTCCTATGACAACTTACAAGAAGTAATGAAGTTTGAAATTGACCAACTTTCAAAAAACCTCCAAAACTGCAAAAAAGAAAATGAAACTCTGAAATCTGATCTGAATGTAAGTTAAGAGGGATTTTGGTAATTGGTGAATTTGTCCTGGGTCTGTGATTGTTCTCTTGAGTGTAGGGCAAGGACTACTCTGATCTCTCCCTAACTTTCCATACTTGCCCACATGCCTGCCACATAGAAGGTTCATGACATGTTTGTTGACTAAACATTGCTAGGAACAATTACTTAAAGTCTAATATAACCTTGTCTTTTAGAATTTGATGGAGCTTTTTGAAGCAGAAAAAGAACGCAATAACAAATTATCATTACAGTTTGAAGAAGATAAAGAAAATAGTTCTAAGTGAGTGCTATTTATCTTTTCCATTAGTTGACTATTGTTTACTACCACATTCTTTATCTTGTTTTTTATTGTTAATACTCTGTAAAGAGTTATTTTTTAAAAGCATTCCAAAAGGAATGTCAGATTCTTTTATATAAATGGTTATACAGAGAAACTTAATTCTTCAAAACATTCAACAAGTAGCTATTGTGCTTTTAAATGAATAGCAGTCAGTGGTGATCAGAACTCAGCACCCTCTGTAAATAAATCACAGTCTATATATAATAAGATGACTTCCAAATGTTCATTTTATTATTGGAAGGTGGAGAATGATTTTTATTTCCGTCTCTACTATTCTTTTTCTAGCTGCTCTTTTTTCTTGCTGGTCCATTATCTTTCTTTCCCTCTCTCTTCAAGTTCTTTTCCTTAGTAACCTTAGTGAGTCTCTCAGTCTCAGCCAACAGGCTATTAATCACTCTAATGAGAAGAATTTCTTTATTCAATAGATATTTATAGAGTTCTTACTATGAGACAGATTATCCTTTAGGCCTTGGGTATACAGTGGTGAACGTGGAGTGTATATCTAGTTGGGAGACAGGCAATTAACATTTTCTCATTCATGCAAATGTTTAGTGATATCCAATAATCCAGGCACTGATCTGGTGAATGCCAGCACATTTAGAGGTAAAACAGTGAATAAAACTTCCCTGTTCTTGTGGATTTTACATTCTAGCACAGGGAGATAGGTAATAATAAACAAATACTATATTATATATGTTATATTAGGGAATACAAAACACTCTGAAGAAAAACAAACAGTCCTGGTACAAAAATAAGTTCTCATTAAATAGTTGTTGAAGAAATGGGTTCAGATTTCTGATCTCCACTGGAATATAATGCCTCACACCAAGTACGTGTCTAATAAAGTTCATTTGCATTGTATTTAATCGCTTCTGTACTGACTCAGTTCCTCTATCCATTTCATGAAGTCGGGTAAAAGATAATTCTTCTCTTCCAGAGAAATCTTAAAAGTTCTTGAGGCTGTACGTCAGGAGAAAAAGAAGGAGATGGCCAAGTGTGAGCAGCAGGTAAATTTCCTATTATTCTAATTCAAGAATTTGAAGTAACTTTTATTCCTGATGTCTAAAGAAGTTTATTATAAAAACGGTTTCAGCTTTTGGATGTTGGAAATCAATTTTTTAAAAAAAAAAATTCGGGGCTGGTTTTATTATTTTTCAACTGTTGTTTTTCTAACTGCCAGTTGGCTATAAGCATAATTTATTGGTATCTCCTGATAGAGACCACAAAATCATTGTCTTTCAACCCAATTTATCATTTTCAAGTATTCATCCTAGTGTAATCTCTATAATATGAAAATCAGATTTCAGTTTTATCTATGTATGGTGAGGTTAGCTTTGTGATTTAATTCTTTTTCTAAAAATATTTATTTTTCCCCATAGATGGCAAAAGTACAGAAACTAGAAGAGAGCTTGCTTGCTACTGAAAAAGTGATCAGTTCTCTGGAAAAGTCTAGAGATTCTAACAAGGTAGGTGGAGTTTGAAGCTACACCCTTCTGTATTTTTTTAATAAATGCTAGTTTAACTTTCTATTCTCCTGTCCCATCTTGCACTTCCAGGGTGACCGATAGCTAGATTTCTATATGCAGTTAGGCCTTGTTTATCTTCCAAGGCAGCTAGAGAATGAAGTCTTCCTCTTAAGTTTAATTTTCCACATAACTTCAGGTGCAAACCACTATATTACTCAGGACGATGGTATGTTTCTAAAACACATCCTAGAGTACTGTTTACTACCACATTCTTTATCTTGGTTTTTTTTATTGCTAATACCCTGTAAAGAGTTATTTTAACTCTTTTAACTAAGATGCTGGTATTAGTGTGACCTGTTCTTGTTGACTCTAAGTCCCATTTTACAAATTCTCAAATGCCTGGAGTTGACTTTAACAAGAATAATAAAAATAGGCTGGGCACAGTGGCTCACGCCTGTAATCCTAGCACTCTGGGAGGCTGAGGTGGGAGGATCGCTTGAGGTCAGGAGTCCAAGACCAGCCTCAGCAAGAGCAAGACCCCATTTCTACTAAAAAAATAGAAAGAAATTAGCTGGGTGAGGTGGCACATGCCTATAGTCCCAGCTACTAGGGAGGCTGAGACAGGAGGATTGCTTGAGCCCAGGAGTTTGTGGTTGCTGTGAGCTAGGCTGATGCCATGGCACTCTAACCTGGGAAACAGACCAAGATTCTGTCATTCATTCATTCATTCATTCATAAATAAATAAATAATCCAAGTGTAAAATTAGGTATTAAAATCCTTATATGTCTAACTCTTATTCATTCATAAAACCAAAGCAAATGATTAAGTAAAATAGCATATAGCCATTAAAATATAAATTGATAATAATGAGACATATGATGTTTTGCTAAAATAAAATTGACTTCTTATGTTGCCATTAGTAAAGGTAAATGATTTATCATTTGAAAATTACCTCCTGGCCAAGCGCGGTGTCTCATGCCTGTAATCCTAGCACTCTGGGAGGCCGAGGCGGGTGGATCGCTCAAGGTTAGGAGTTCAAGACCAGCCTGAGCAAGAGCGAGACCCCGTCTCTACCAAAAAATAGAAAGAAATGATCTGGACAACTGAAAATATATATATAGAGATGGTGGCGCATACCTGTAGTCCCAGCTACTCGGGAGGCTGAGGCAGAAGGATCGCTTGAGCCCAGGAGTTTGAGGTTGCTGTGAGCTAGGCTGACGCCACAGCACTCACTCTAGCCAGGGCAACAAAGCGAGACTCTTTCTCAAAAAAAAAAAAAAAAAAAATTACCTCCTTTTGAATGCCCTTGGACGTGAAAATATTGTTTCTGTCCTCATCAGGAAGTTGTGACCGACCTTATGAATCAGATCCAGGAGCTAAGAACATCAGTCTGTGAGAAAATGGAAACTATTGACACCCTAAAGCAAGAACTAAAGGACATAAATGTAAGTTTAGTCAAATTTAACAAGATGTTAAATTTGAACATGAGACACTTTACAGACTCAAGATGTTAACAAATACTCCACCAGGAAAAAAGATTCTGTGGTCAAAGAAGTTTGGAAATACTAGTTAAAGCTCAACAGATTTCTGTATTTGCAGGACTTGCAGAGCCTTTGTTATGCCAAGGCGTAGTATGCATCTCCGGGAGGCAATGCAGACTGCAGTGTTTCTCAGATTTCACTGACCTGGGACAATGTTCTCTGTGCACCATTTGGGAATTGCTGATATAAACTGAATAAGAAACAGACTGGTTATTGGCTGGGACAGTTAAGGCTGAGAAAAAAAATAACACATTTTAGCTAAGTTCAGAGACATTAATCATAGAAAATGAATTTTTTTTCTCTAATAATGGACGTAATGTCATTTCCTAAAGTAACTACTTATTTTGCCAGCATATATCTATGTTGAATGTTGATGCTTTCTCTTCTGCTTGGGTCAAGGCGAAGGTTTTTGTAGATACTCTAGGAGATTGCTGTTCTCCATGTTTATTTCTGAAGACAGTCTCCTGATAAAGATGGGAAAAAAAATCTGTTTTCATGTGACTTTTCCATTTTTCTTCACCATTCATGCATTTGTTCTTACATTCTTTCATTCATCGAGTATTTATTGAATTAACTTGTGTTAATGTGGTCATCACCTTAGAACTCAGACTCATTCTTGATATTTTAATCTACAAATAAACAGATAATAAAACAGACACCTCTGTATCATGACTTTCTTTTCTACAGTGCAAATACAACTCTGCTTTGGTTGACAAAGAAGAGAGCAAAGCATTGATCAAGAGGCAGGAAGCGGATATTCTGGATCTGAAAGAAACCCTTAGGCTAAGAATACTCTCTGAGGATATAGAGGTAGATGTTAAGACTTCTTTGTTTGCCTTATTGCTTGTCAATATATCTATTTGTGTGTGGAGGTTATTAGTGAATAAATAGAGGATTTTTAAAGGAATGATTAATAATCAGAGCCACTTTTTCCTAGGGTGGTCAGACAATTAAGAGTTACCACTAAAATTATTATATTTTTATCTAGTTAATCTATTTTCATTATTTGTGCTGACACCATGTGAAGTTCCTATAACTGACCACCCTTTATGTAAGGGGAGCAGAGTGGAAACTGCATTTACTCGGAATGTTTAAAAAATTTTTCTTTTTGTTGTTGTTCACGTAAATTTACCCTTTTAAAAATTAAGCAATACTGTCACGTGGTTCAGAAGCAATATGCATTTCCTCCTACCCCTCCCTATCCCTCAACCACCCAATGTTACTAGTTTTTTGTATATCCTTCCAGAGATACTTTAAGCAAGTCCAATATACTTTTAGTCTTCCCTTTTTTCAGACAGATGACAACCCATTATTCAAACTGTTCTGCATTTCCTTTAGATATAAGGGATTTTTGTTTATTTGGTTGGGCTTTCATTTTTTGGGGATTTTTTTGCTAAACTGTGCTACCCATAAAACCAACAAGTATTTATTGAATCCACATACCATACAACTTGTACCTGGCCTGGCATTTGGGGATGGAAGAATGATTGAAACACCATTACTTATGTAGCTTAAGAGATATGTGTATTATGACATAATAAACGACCTGGGAGCACAGAAAAGGGAAGGAGGGGAGTAATTCTGCCTGGGGAAATTCCAAAGAGCTTCCCAGAGGAGATAGTATCCATACAAGACTTTGCCAGGGAGGGAAGCCTTGGCAGTGTGAATGTGTGTGGAGTGTCTCTAGCACAGTAAGCAGTCGGGGTGGCCAGCTTGAGGTGCAGAAGCTGAGATGGAGACAGGCTGAGCCTGTGCAGTAAGCTTCTTGAGGAACACCAGCTGTATCTTTTAGGAAATTGGAGCTGCATAGACTTTGAACCCAGACAGAAGGTGTTGAGATCTGAGCTAAGAAGTCTTAGTGGGGATAGTGAATGAGACCGTGAGAGTTGGGAAGTATTTCAGAACTACCGTTGACAGTTGTTGGTGTCCAGTTGGATGTGTGCTGTGAAGGGAGGAAGCAGTCAGAGTGGGCACCAAGGTTTCTAGCCTGAGAGACCGAAGGTGATTCTGCACACATCTAAGATGAAGAGAATAGAGGCTCAGGGAAAATTAATGAGATGCATTTTACACATTACCAGTTTTGAACTTAAAGAACCTGTGGGAATAGATATCCAAGGTAGATATACCCAGTAATTTGTATTTTTATCCTGCTACATTCCAGAAAAGATTTGAAGCTGCTAACATATGTACAATGTAAGAAGGTTAAAATAGACAACTAAAATCAGAATAAAAGGAAAGTAAGAGTAGAATAGTAACAAGTTACAAAGAGCACATGCTGTGGAGTTGGAATTCTGGCTGTGTGACCTTGAGGAAGTTAAATTTTTTCTCTGCTTCATTTGCCACATCTAAAGAGATAACAGTACTGCCTATTTCATAAGATGTTGTGAAGATGAAATGAGGAATACATGGAAAGTGCCTAGAACACTATGTGGCACCTTGTAAATTACTCAATGCATGTTACCTGGGACTAATTTTAGGAGGCCAATTGAAAAGTTAATACACAAAAGCCACAACCTAAAGTCTTATACAGTGTATAAAATGTGTAAAATTCAGTTCTATATTGCTTATTGCCAAAATAAAAAGAGAAATCTAGCTATTTTAGTGGGAGTAGCTGAATGAGGAAAGAAAACTCATGGCAGTATACTTAAAAGCTCTTCCTTCTTCCATCCTTATTTCCTTCCTTTCTCTCTCTCTGTCATTTCTTCTTGAAAAGATTATGACTAGGAATTTTAGATTCAAGTGGAGTTGATCATAAACAGCCAGTTCACGTTCCCTTCGTACTTATTTTCTGTCTTTATTAGCTAAAATTTACTTTTATGGCTATGGTTTGTGAATTGTCATTTAAATTGTCTATACATCAATGTTTTTCAACAATATGAGTCCCCAGCCAGCACAATAAGATGAGAACAGTAAATGAGACACAAATATTATAAAAACTGAGAAAAAATATACTGTTATTTGCAGTTGGGTATGAATGTGTGTGTGGAAACTCCAAAATACTGCCTGACTATCTATTAGAATAATGAGTTTAGTAATCAGTTATAATCAAGTCTTAAAAATATATTTACCGTATACCATCAATAACCATTTAACAATATAATGGAACTAAAAAGTTCCATTCTCAAAAACAATCAAAAGTATAAAAACCTTAGGGAAGACTATATAATAACTGTTAAGGACATAAAACTTTCCTAAGGAATATGAAAAGAAATTAAGTATTAAAAAAAGAATAGCTTTACTATATATCAACAATAACCACTTTAAAAACATACATAGGATTTTTAACAAATGATGTAATAGAAGAACGAGTACAGGGAAAAGTGTGATATATCAAGTTTTTAAGTGTATGTGATGAGAGATGTGTATGTATGTATATGCATGTGTATATATACACATACATACATAAATTTACATTTGGAGAGGAAACGGAGAATAAACAGATTCTGCTCTAATTTTGCAGGAATTACATACACTGCATCCATAGGAATTATGTATGCAACCTACAGGACTTCTAATTCTCTGTGTCACTTTCTATAACCTACTTCCTGAAACTTTGATGGCCTATGACAGTATCACAGTCTGGTGAACTGCCCAGCCCTCCCCAACTATTTATAGCTATTTACCTTCCAGTGTATAAAGGACTCAACTGGTGAGACAAGCCAGCTCAGGACCTTTTCCTGGAGTCCTCCTCAGGAAAGAGAGATGAGCTTTGAGATCCGGGAGTGAGAAGAAAGTGCAATTAAACTCTCATTTGCCATACCTATATGAATTTACTGTAATCATGTTAATCTCTAGACCCTTTCAACCTAAATATTAACTCACCGGTTTGTCTTTGAATGGATTAGGACACAAGCCCAAAAAAAGGGGGGGATTTTACATAAAACTTTCTTAACCTTTTAAAAATTGTACATAATAATGATTTGGAAATCCTTATTGGAATACTACAATGAAGAAATTCTTCCTTTGTGGGGATTGTCCCCCAACAGAGAGATATGCTCTGTGAGGACCTGGCTCATGCCACTGAGCAGCTGAACATGCTTACAGAGGCCTCAAAAAAACACTCAGGACTATTGCAGTCTGCCCAGGAAGAACTGACCAAGAAGGAGGCCCTGATCCAAGAACTTCAGGACAAGGTAAGATGCACAGAGGTGTCACTCAAGATGGGGGACAAAAGGGATCCATAGTTGAGGTTGTCACAACATTCCTGCCTTGGCTAATTTCTCTATGTTACAAAAGGCAGACTAATGGAGTATTTAGGCAATCTGGATTGTAAACTTGGAATCAGAACAACTTGGGTCTGTGCACATGAAGTGAGACTTGCTCGGCTGCCTCCCCACCTACTCTGGGTCATTGGCATGCGGCAGCAAGTCCTAACCACTGTGGGGACGTTATGGCTGACTTTTATCATCTTTTTAGCAGCTGTTGTTTTATATTTCATATTTTTTGCAAGTAACTCTTTTATTGCGAAACTTAAAAGAAAAACTTAAAAGGTGTAAATTTGTGAGAGAAAAGGAGATGTTGGGTTATAGTAGCAACCAAATTAAACATATCACAAAAAGCAGCCCTAAGTTCACATTTTATTACTTTAAAAAATGCCATGGTTTTGTCTTAATCGAATGCTTTTCAAATTATTAATCAAGCAATGAAAAAGCAATGTAAAAAGCATAATTCTGTATACCATGGGAAGCTTGTCTTTTCTTTTTTTAAATATAAGTAGCATTCTATGAAATGTCTCTTTTAATTGACAAATAATTATATATAGGGTACAATGTGATGTTTTGATATATGTATACATTATGTGATGATTAAATCAAATAAATGAACATGTTTGTTGCCTCACATACTGTTTTTTTGGTGGTGTGAACATTTAAAACCTCTCTTGGCAATTATTATTAAATATAGTTACCATGTGGTACAATAGATCTCAAAAACTTATGCCTCCTAATTGAAACTTTGTACCCTTTGACCAATATCTCCCATTCTTGTTTCCTCCCAAGCCCCCACCCAGCCTCTGGTGACCACCATTTTATTCTCTACTTCTATGAATTCAACTTTTTTTAGAATCCACATATAAGTGAGACTGTGTAGTATTGTCTTTCTGTGCCTAGCTTATTTCACTTGGGATAATGTCCTCCAGGTTCATGTGCGGTGTCACAAATGACAGAATTTGCTTCTTTTTTAAGACTGAATAGTATTCTATTGTGTATATATAGCATATTTTCTCCCATTCATCCATTAGATGGACACTTCCATACCTTCGCTATTGTGACGAATGCTTCAGAGTACAGATATCTCTTCAACACACTGATTGTAATTTCTTTGGATATATACCCAGAAGTGGGATTGCTGCATCATACAGTAGTCTACTTTTAGTTTTTTGAGGAATCTCCATACCATTTTCCATAATGGCTATACTAATTTACATTCCCAACAAGGGTTCCTTTTTCTCCACATCCTCACCCACACTTATCGTTCATGTTTATTATAGCCATTCTAATAGGTGAAATGCAATATCTCATTGTGGTTTAATTTGTATTTCCCTGATGATTGGTAATGGGGAAGCTTGTCTTTTTTAATTGGACCATGTGCCCCATATTATTTTCTAACTTGTAATCTTAATTTTCCTAGCTAAACCAAAAGAAGGAGGAAGTAGAACAGAAGAAGAATGAATATAACTTCAAAATGAGACAGCTGGAGCATGTGATGGATTCTGCAGCTGAAGCTCCCCAGGTACTTTTCAGAAAAAGAGAGCATTTCAGGAGGAATGAACAGTTTGTGAATGATAAAAATTTGGAAATTACTAAGACCATAGCTTTGTTTTTTTTTTTTTTTTTTTTTAAGAAAAAGATTTTCACTAACACCCTCTGCCTGCTTTTTACTTGATAAAGGTGCCAGTCTTTTGTTTGTTTTACTTGAACAAAAGTTAGAATAATAAGCTAAATAGCCCGAGTATTTTCTGTGTGCTTGGCATATACTTGTACATTTAAAATGAAACCTTTCTAACATCACTTAACACTGGGTATTTGGATGAGATTTGATTTTATTTTAGAGTCCTAAAACACCACCTCATTTTCCAACACATTTGGCAAAACTTCTGGAAACACAAGAACAAGAGATAGAAGATGGAAGAGCCTCTAAGACTTCTTTGCAACACCTTGTAACAATGCTAAATGAAGACAGAGAAGTCAAAAATTCTGAAATCCTCAGAATGAAGGTAATTGGGTAAATTTTTTTCTTTTTTCTCTTTTTAAAAGACAGGAAACTCTTGGGCTCAAGTGATCCTCCTACCTCAGGCTCCCAACTAACTGGGACTACAGGCATGTGCCACCATACCCAGCCAGTAAATTTAATTTTAAAACATAAGCAGCATCATCTTGTAAGTTTAATTTTTAAAAATAAGCAGTATTGTCATATTTGCTGAGGATACAAAATTCAAAGGCACAGAACTGAAGGGTAGACAGAGAAAAGTCTTCCTCTTAGCCCAGATACCAGTCTACCAAGGTTGCTGTCCCTGGAGGCTCCCGGGGTAGCTGGTTCTTTTAGAGCTTTTCATTGCGTACATAACCAAGTCTGTAAGCATTCTTCTCTCCCTGCCCCATTTGGTTTTTACATGATGATGTCATATCATACAGGCTGCAATAACTACACTCTAAGCAATGAAGGAGAGACCCTGTTTCCTCAGACCTCACCTCATAGTGCCGTCCGACTTTTGGGTCTTTGTCAATTTAATAGCTAAAGCATGTTATCTCGATATAGTTTTAAATTTGTATTTTTCTTATTAGGAGTAAAATTGAGTATCTTTTGTTTTTCTCTTTCTGTGAACTATATCCATTACCGATTTTTCTATTGTTAGATTTTTCTTATTGATTTATAGGCATTCTTTTTATATTAGAGATTTGTTTTAGACTATGATAAATTCAGAATACTTTCTTGTTTGCCATTTCTTTAAGCTTCCTGTTAGTGTTTTTACCCAGTTACTTGGGGTTATGGTGTTTGTGAGTGGCAGGTGTGCATATGGTTTAGGGGTCAGGGTGTGTGCTGGAGTGTCCGGGTAGGTGGTGTTTAGGTACGTGGGAATCAGAAGAATGTGATGCTCCACAGAAGAGAGCGTTTAGCCTGTGAGGTCATTGCTCTGCAGTGAGTTTTTGTTAAGGAACGTAATTAGCTCTTTTTTTTTTTTAACATAAGCAGAGAGTTTATTTGGGCCAAGCTGAGGACTGCAACCTGCTGGCATAGATTCAAGTTGCCCAGAACATATACTCCATGAGCAGCAGTTGCAAGTAGATTTTTAAAGAAAAAATTTGCTCACTTTAATCAAGTGATGTGAAGGATATAAAGACAGTATCATTCTTAAGTTTTGTTTCTCGTGGAGAGGATCATTCCTGACCTTTTTTATTTAGGGCAGTTCTCAGTATGCTCTCAGGAATGTGGCTCTTATCCAGATTGCCATGATCTTGAAACTTAGAAGAAATTGAATCAGGTTAAAAGAAATCAGTCAGTAGGCAAGTGAATCCAAAAGGACATTCCTTGCAGCCAAGTATTTATTTCTTCTGGATGGTTACTCTTGTGATTTTCAAGTTATGATCCAGTTAATTTTTTTTGTTTGTCATTTTTTTTATTTGTTTGTTTGTTTTGAGACAGGGTCTTGCTCTGTCTCCCAGGCTGTAGTGCAGTGGCTTCATCATAGCTCAATGCAACCTCAAACTCCTAGGCTCAAGTGATCCTCCTGACTCAGCCTCCTAAGTAGTTGCGACTATAAGTGTGTGCCATCAGGCCTGGCTAGTTTTCATATTTTTGTAGAGGCGGGGTCTCGCTAAGATGCTCAGGTAGCAGTTAAGTATTTTGAGGAATGGGCTGTGGCATCAGTTTTTTATTTGTTTTATTTAAAATCTATTAAATAGAAACAAATAGTTGAGAATATTTACCAAAGTAGAGACTTTCTGTCATCTTTTCTCATAAAGGAATTTTAATGAATTATGTGATATTGAGAAGAAACTATGTTTGAGACACTATGAACATGATCATGAATCACCATTTTAGGCCTCCAAGAGCTTGGCACAGTCTGCTTTTTATCCAGCAATACCCAGTGTGGTGTTCTACATAGGAGCTTAATAGAGTAAAACCTGTCTTGGGTCATGGCCTTGGGGAGCTAAATAAAGCCTACTATAATGCTTTTTGTTTTGTTTTGCTTCAATAGATTCAGGGAGTTCAAGTGTTTTTTGTTATGTGGATGAATTGTATCATGCTGAAGTCAGGGCTTTTAGGGTACCCGTCACCAGAATACTTAACATTGTACATGATCGGTAATTTTTTATCCCTCACCCCCCGCCACGCACACTTCCCCCTTCTTAGTTTCCAATGTTCATGACACCACTTTATGACCATATGTCCCCTTGTTTAGCTCCCACTTATAAGTGAGAACATGTGGCATTTATTTTTCCATTCCTGAGATACTTCACTTAGGATAATGGTCCCCAGTTCCATCCAAGTTGCTGCAAAAGACGTTATTTCATTCCTTTTTGTGGCTGAGTGGTACTCCATGGTATATTTACACACACACACACACACACACACACACACACACATTTTCTTGATCCACTCGTGAGTTGATGGGTGCTTAGGTTGATTCCATATCTTTGCAATTCTGAATTGTACTCTGATAAACATTCAGGTGCAGGTATCTTTTTTATAAAATGACTTCTTTTCCTTTGGGTAAATACCCAGTAGTGGGATTGCTGAATCCAATGATAGGTCTACTTTTAGGTTCTTTGAGGAATCACCATACTGTTTTCCATAGAGATTGTACTAGTTTACATTCCCACCAACAGTGTATAAGCATTCCCTTTTCACTGCATCTGCACCATCTATTGTTTTTTGCCTTTTTAATAATATCCATTCTGACAGGTGTGAGGTGGTATCTCACCGTGGTTTTGTTACAGCAAGTGTTACAGCAAGTGGTCCCGAGGACAAACCGAGCTGCACACGGAGAGTCGGAGAATCAAAGTTTATTCACCAGCGGGCTCAGAGGGGGCCTCGCCACCAAATTCTGAGCGCCGTCTACCCAATTTTTCCCACTTTTATTAAGATGTGGTGGTCCGGGGGGTCAGGTGGTTAATGCCTACCAGGTAATAGGTTAGTTGATGTTTCAGATAATAGATTTTAGTGTTATGCTGATGTGCCAGGTAATAGATTAGTCGATGCGCCAGGTAATAGGTTGTTATTATGCTGATGTGGGTCTTCCGTGAGGGGTGGGGGTCTCAGGTGTCTCATGTGCCAAGTAATAGATTAGTTGATGGGTCAGGTAATAGGTTAGTATTATGCTGATGCAGGTCTTCCATGAGGGGTGGGGGTCTCAGATGGCTGATGTGCCAAGTAACAGATGGGGGTTTTCCTTATCATTCCCCCCTTTGATGCCCTTGTTTGTCTACTATAGGGCATCATTTCCCAGTGGGTGTAGTAAGTCGAACAAGCTGGCTTGCCCCTTGGGGCTATACAGGGTCAAATATCACCTATAATGTTGCCAGTCCAGTATTTCTTTCCCCTGCTGTGACACACCTCAGCCTGACTATAACATGTCTTTGGCATGTAGGTGCGGACTGCGAAACCTCCCGTGGTCCAGAAGCCTCGAGTAATCCCATTAGTGGAAGGAATCCAAGTCCTAGCATAACAAACCTCAGGTCAGGATTTCTCTGCCATAGTTGTTAGGGCGAGTACCCCAACCAGGAGGAGGGTAGGAACTGAGGCAGGAGTAGACATCCTATAATAAGCCAAAATACCACAGTTAGAGACCCCCTCTGCAGTCCAGTCGAATCTCCCAGAGCTACCGTGAAGAGTCCAATCCCCAGTAAAGTTACTACGACCTCAATGAGGGCCAGGGCCAGTGGTCCCATTTACTCCCATTCAGTCCTGGGTGTTGCTATCCTTATTGGGAAACAGTTAAGCTGTATCTTTAGCGGGTTCTGCTGGTCCTGGTGTGCAGTCCAGAAATCAGCTTCGTTGTCTGGTTCAGCATTTTTCACCCGGGAATGATGGATCCACAGAGTGATATCTGCAACTTTAACAGCAGTGGGAGTAACTAATATTACAGTATGGGGACCCTTCCTGGTGGGCTCTAGGGGTGTTCTTTTCCAGTCCTTTACCTAGACTACATCCCCAGGTTGATGGGGGTGGACACGGAGACCCAGGGCAATAGGGGTTTTTTCTAGGATGGTGTGGTGGATATGGCGCATAGTTTTAACTAAGGCTTGGAGGTGTGTTTATATTCAATTCCCCTAGTTATCTAATGTCTCCCCTTAATCACTTGATGGGGGGCGGGGAGGTCTACCAAACAGGATTTCAAACAGGATGTGCACGTGACTCTGAACAGGGCTAGGCTTAGCACGTCTACCCAGGGTAATTGTGTTTCCTGACATAGCTTGGCTTGAGTGTCCAGTTTATGTGCTCTACTTTCACTGAGCTCTGTGGCCTGTAGGCTGTATGTAGTTTCCATTTGATTCCTAGTGCCTTGGTGAGGGTTTGCATGACCTCCTCAGTGAAGCTTGGTCTGTTGTCATTGCCAAAGGAGAGTGGCAGACTGTACCTGGGGATGATTTCTCTCAGTAGAAGCTTTGCCACTTCTCTAGCCTTTTCGGTCCGGGTAGGGACTGTCTCGACCCAGCCTGAGAAGGTGCATATCACTACTAGCAGGTATTTATAGCCCTGACATGGTTTTACTTCTGTGAAATCAACTTCCACCTCCTTGTGAAGTGGAAAATTCCACTAACAAGTCTCCACCCCTGCTATCTCCCCTAACAGCTGTCACTCTTGCCTCTGTAAACTGCTTGCAGGCACCAAGGTGGCTCAAGACCCTGCCCCGCTAAAGATAACCTCATTGTAACTGTGCCCCACTCCCTCCCTAAACAAAAT